GTAATTGTTGCTCTCTGTAGAAAACTGAAGTCTCAGTCTAGCTGACAGAAATGAGTGATTATCACTTTGCTTGATTTAATGTGCCTTCACAGAAACCACACCTGCTTTGTCCTTGAACTCTTTGACTCAGCTTTCCAATTTTTCTATTTACAAGGATATAACATACTTTTTGCTACTAACTTGCTGTAAATAATAACCAGGTTCACTTTGGGGGCTTTTCCTTACCTTAACTTTTAACATTTTAAGTAAAAAGCAAAACTTTAATCAGGTTTAAATATGGCTTAAACTTTAATCAGGTTAGACACTGGGTAACAAAGGAGGGTAACACGAGCTAACTGCAGTTTGAATGAAGACTTTTAACCTTAAACATTATGGACTCATCTGTCACTATGTAATTTTTAACCTAATTTTAAAATTAATCTTTTAAATTAAAACCTCTGCTATGCTAATGAAAGTTAGTATTGCATATTTATATTCAGCAATAACAAACAACTAATAGCAACTAATACTAAAACAAACATGAAGCTCATTACTTTACATCTGAGAAAGGTCAGCCACACTAGGTAACCCAGCCAGTCTTCACAAATACCCCTAGTGCAAGAGAACATAGAAAACGGAGATAAACAGCTCATCCAAAAATTCTGAAGAAACACATTATGTCCAAAACACAGTATCTCTGGGCTGCTCTTTATTTCACAAAATGTTAACATTTGAAAATGGTTTTCTAAGTCTCTAGTTCTATAGTACAAACCAGACTGCTATTTCTTTAAACTATAGAACATTTCCCCAAAAACTAAATACCATTTTTACTGTAGGGAGTTAGTAGCAAAAAATTTACCTCAACAAAACAAACAGGATGCCACAAATCAGCTTTTTCCAGATTATCTCATAAAAGTATAGAGACCAGGAGAAAAGAACAAAATATGTCAAATGTGGGTTGGCATGATTCAGTGTAACATTTATGGATGGTTTTATGGCTCCCAAATTGTACTTTTATTACTTCCCGAGAGCCATTCATGAAATCTGTTGCAATGAAGACTCAAATCATATATAAATTTTCATCTGGAAGTAAAGAGTTTGTTGCCCTCTTGAGGTAAATTCAAGAACAGAAACAAAACAATGCTGGCTTGGCCTAGTCAATTACAGAAAGAGGCTTTCTTCTCCAACAGGCTTTTTCTACAAACATATCATGATCTGAAGCTGGACAGTTATAATACAAACTCTATTTTTACCCCAACAACAGACAACTTACAAAGGCACTAAACATTTCTGCAAAAATAAAGCTAAAACTTCACACCAAGAATAAAGCAAGAATTTTAAAGTTTCAACAGATAAAAATGTCAAACTAGCTGCATCCTAAAAATTCATTATGCAGATCTTCAGTTAACCTAGCTCATATGACCCAGGGGACCCAAACTATAGACTGTGAAAAGCTTTATGGCAAACTTTTATGGAGGTTGGTTGGGTCAGTGGGGCAAGTCCAAGAGAGTATACTCAATTCCACTCATTGTTTGGTCTTCAACATGAGAAGTAGCTGCACTGAGAAAAGAGTATATAATATCTAAGTGTGGGTAGAAAAATTCAATGGTCTTGATAGATTATCCTGTTAGGGAATTCTCAGAGTTAAATGAATTTTAGTCAGTATTGCCATTTCAACGTCATGGGGCTTTAAACTAATTAATGTTGTTTCCCCTCAACTTATATTTTTATTCTAAGCTATCAACTGATTTTCAGTATTAAGAAGAATGGGTTAGATTACATCATTATTCCTCTAAAGTTTCAAAGACTTCAGTGTTTTACTAAGCATGACTTACATTCATGAATGATCAAGGTTTTGAATAAGCAGTAAAAATATGGTCACCATCTCATCTTGCTATTAAAGATCCTGTAGGAGGAAGAGATCACACCAGCCAGCTGTTGTTAAAAGTCTAGATTCATGGACACAGAATTAACCCATCACATTCTCTAGAAGCAATCAAACAAAGTAGGTTCCTCACACACTCTCCCAATTGCTGAACTCTTTATACATATCCTTCCAGATACCCTTGATAGCTCAGGGGATAGGGAAAGTAGAAAGGACAGAAAAGATGTCCCTATTCTAAGAGGTAGCCCTACTTAAGTCATTAGCTGTCAGTATTGACCTACAGATTGATCATTCATTCAAAATTCATTCACACATTTACTGATGGCTACTATGTGCTAAGAACCATTTTATTTACAAAGCAATGAAAACCACCCTTAGGTTCATTCAAACTTTGGTTGCACTTACTACTCTATAAAAAATTCTCTAAGAGGGGCACTATTTGAACAACTTTGTATTAGCTAAATGACCCTCCCTCCCCAATATAAAAGAGAAGCCAGAAAAAAGCCTGAAGGCAGGAAGAGGAGTGTAAAAAAACTCGAGAGATATTATTTCTTCCAGTTATTTTGAAGTTCTGATGATGTACACACATGTGTGCTCATATACACACAGACACACACTCTCATACATTTTTATACCTAGCACAGTTTCTTGCATTATAGCAAAGTTCGGGCTCTGAAAGCAAAGCTGCCTGGTTTCACAGCCCTACTTGGCCGCCAAACTACCTGTGTAACTTTGACAAGTTGCCTAATCTCTGTGCCTTAGTTTCCTCATCTGTAAAAACAGGGATAATTCAAATACTTAAGTCAGGGTGCCTGGGTAGCTCAGTTGGTTAAGGGTCTGCCTTTAGCTCAGGTCATAATCCTGGGGGTCCTGGGATCGAGCCCCACATGGGGCTCCCTGCTCAGCTGGGAGCCTACTTTTCCCTCCCCCTCTGCCCTTCCCCCTGCTTGTGCTCTCTCGTGCTCTCTCTCTCTCAAATAAAATCTTTAAAAATAAATAAATAAATACTTAACTCAAAGGTTTACTGTGAGTTTTAAATAAATGAATAAATACTTATCACAATGCCCAGCACATGATATACAGAGTAAACATGAATGTCTTCCTTTACCCCCACCTCCCATGTCCCTTCCTCCTCAGCTCTAATGCCCATAATAATCATCACTCTACTACCTCTTCCATGCATTTACATTTTCTAAGCATTTACACACATTTCCATGTGCTTACATTCCCATGCATTTACATTTATGTGCATGTGCAAAAATAATGGAATCCATACTGTAAGAATTGCTCTAAAAATTGCTTTCTCACACAGTATACCTCAGAGACCAGTAACTCTCCCATATTAGGTGATCTTATTCATCTGCATGGCATCTAAATGCCATGTATAGGTTGATAACCCCCAATTTTGCATTGCCAGCCCACATGTCTCTTGTGTAGTCTACCTGAATCTCCACTTGAATGTATCTTAGGTATTTCAAACTTAACATATCCAAAGTAAAATTCTTGGTTTTCTCCCATATACCTGCTCTTCCCTCTGTCTTTTCCATCTCAGCATATGGCACCACCCATCAACCATGTCTTATAACCAAAAGTTGGGTATCATGCTTGATTCCTTCCTCTTTCTTACCCCCAACCCAATCCAAAGTCCTGTCATTTGCAGCAATAAAACAGAATTCGAATCCATCCTCTTCTCCATCATTACTGCTACCACCCTCAACTGAACTATGATGGATATAATAGTCTTCTATCTGGCTTCTCACTTTTACTCTTGTAATCCACTTCCCCATTAGCCAGACAATAGACAGAATGACCTTCTTATCAACCTGAATGTGTCACTTTCCTGCTTAAAACCATTCATCTACTTCCTACTGCATTTCAAATACAATTTTAGCTCCTCAAAAGCATTATATTCTCTGGCCCATATATATCTCTGCGAGCTCACCTTATGACATGCTCTCCTTTGTTCACTGGAGTCTAGCCACACTGGCCTCCTCTCTGTTCCTAGAAGACTCCAAGATCTTCCCCATTTCAGTGCCTTTGTCTTATTTTTTTCTGCTCTTGGCCTGATTCCTCCTTATACTTTGGGTCTCAGATTAAATTTTACCACTTTGTCTAGACAATAAACTTATTCTTTATCATAGTATAGCCTATTTCTACCATAGCATTCCTGTTTATGTGTTGAACTAGTAGAAATAAGCACCACAAGGGCAAGGACAACATTCTTCTTATTCCCAGTGCCTAAATCAATACACAGCACCTAGTGGGACCTCCATAAACATTCGGCAAATAAGAGGGAATAGCATATGGTAATTAACTAGGTCTAGGTTTTCCTGAAACTTCTGAAAATAAAAACTACTTTTAAGACTCACTTTTTAAATAACTGAGCTATATATATAAAATGTTAGTATTCTTGCTAAAAACTGAGATATGATATCAAAAGAATGTATAATTCTCTTTTGTCAACAATGAATAAGTCATCTCATTCATGAACAGAAATTATTTAGTTATTAATGTTATTAAATAATAATCACTTGTTTTGTTGATTTCATGGCAGCCAGATGTTTTACATAAAGTGTACCCCTAGTGCTCTTTTTGAGTGGGCTGAAAGCTCAACTAGTCAAATCAAAACTACTCCTGTAGTTTAGACCAGCCTAAGGTTGAAAAAAACCTTCAGTGATTTTATGAATCACTCTTTCTCAGAGAATACTAATGTCAACGAACCATACACACTTATTTAAAAAAAAATTTTTTTTTTCAATGGAAAACAATCCTTTCCCACAAAATAGACGTAACTATGAGAACTAGGAATGTGTAAGGCGATGGATGCTAACTAAGCTGACTGTGGAGACCATTTCACAATATATGTGAGTTCTTATGCTGTACACCATAAACTTTTACAATGCTGTATGTCAATTATATCTCAATAAACTAGAAAAAAATGTATTTTAATTATAACCCATCAAATATATGCAAATAAAAAGAACAAAATCTACCCCCTTTACCCCAATCCCCACCCCCCCCCGCCAAAAAAGAACTAGGAATATAGATGTAGAGCAGAAGGAATTCTCACAGGCTGCGGCTGGAACGATAAGCTGACAACCACTCTGGAGAATATGGTAAAATAAGGATTTCTTACTTGACTGCCTCGTAAATATTGTTGGAGGTATGTCCTGATAAGGCATCATGTAAATTTCGAATAAAATAATCTCTGTATTCTTCTGGAAGGGCCATAAATGTTCCACCCATCACAATAAACTCCACTTTATCCACACTGTGACCAAGTTGTTTTAACTGAAATACATATAAATTCATTAGTATTAGATATATATAGTCAACTATCCTAAGAAGGCACTGCAAATTTCTAATTTTATTTTGTAGTGTTTTCATCGGTATAGTTTAAAAATGAAAAGCAATTCAACATATTTAGTGAATTCTGTGGATTGAAAAAACAGACTCCAGAGTCTGAAAGAAAAAAAAAATTATAGCTCATGGAGGGAAAGGGAGAATTAAAAAGAATCAGCAAGAAGCTTGACATCAATACCTATGTGGAAATTTAAAAACACATGGAATATAAGCTAGAAAGCAGGAAGGGCAAATATAATAACAATACAATATGTAATATAATAAATGAATATTTATGATTATGTATTTTTATGTCAGAACACTTGCGGTAAGCCTTGGGGACAAAAAAAAGATGACTATATGAAACATAATCAGGACTTGATGCCAATGGAAGAAAAAGAACACTACATTAGAAAGAAAAATTAAGAAAGTAGTTTTAAATCAAAACTTTAAAGTTTTAAATCAATTATGAAGATTATGAGCACAGGTGGCACTGCTCTCTGAGGGGAAAAAAAGGAAAAGTCTGGTTGATAAAATATGAAATATTATCTCTCTACTAGGGGAGAATGGTACAGATTTTTCATTTTGTCAACTATAAGAAGCAAGATTCTAAATTTTAAAAACAGATATTTAATTTAAATTCCTTAGGTTCCTCAAAAAGTTAAAAATAGAAAATCAGTATGAGCCAGTAATTTCACTACTGGGTATCTAACCAAAGAAAACAAAAATACTAATTTGAAAAGATATATATACTCCTCCGTTTATTTAGTCAATTATTTGTAAATAATTACATTATTTACAATACCCAAGATATGAAAGCAACCTGAGTGTCCACTGATAGACAAATACAGATGCACTATATTTATATATATATATACACACACACTCACACAATGGAATATAACTCAGCCATAAAAAAAGAGTGAGATCTTGCCATTTACAATAACATGGAGGGAACTACAGCATATTGTGCTAAGTGGAATAAGTCAGAGAAAAACAAATACCATATGATTTCATTTATGTTATTTATATGTGGAATATAAATAACAAAAACAGATAAACAAAAAGTAGACCCATAAATGCAGAGAACACACTGATGGTTGCCAGAGGTAAGTGGGTGAGTGGATGGACAAAATGGGTGAAGGGCAGTAGGAGATATAGGCTTCCAGTTACAAAAAGAATTAAGTCATGGGGATAAAAGGTACAGCATAGAAAATATAGTCAGTGTTATTGTAACAGCGTTGTATAGTGAGTGATGGTAGCTACACTTGTGGTGAGCGCAGCATAACAAATAGAAATGTTGAACCACTAGGCTGGACACCTGAAACTAATGTAACATTGTGCACCAACTACACTTCAATTAAAAAAAAAATTCTTGCCATATCTTAGGCGTGAGAAAAACTGCGTCAAGTAGACTACCAAATTATGAACTCAAATTAAGGCACTATGTAAAGGATGTCTACACTTAATCTGGACAAAAAGGCACCTTTTCAAATGTTTGTTTCTGAAAACAGCAAATAATTTATATATATGTATATCTTTATGTATGTAAATCATATTCACACATATGCATATGCATACACGTGCAGATATGTATTTAAGTATATATGTAAGTTGCACACACACTAAAAGAAGCTCTGTATCTATGACTGTTTATAAGGGATACACAACAAAATCACTCTGGAAGCTTTTTCAAAATATCTTGCCAGTACCCTAAACCACACTTAATCAGAATGCCAGAGGTGGAATGCTGGCATATGTTTTGGAAAAGATACTCAGGTGATTCTAGTGCATTTACAGTTAAGAAAAGAATCACTGTTCTATAGTAGTTTCTAAATCTTTTAAAACCCATTCCCTTTTTGGTAAACATAAAAATTTCATATGCTATTGAAACATTTTATTTATTTATATTTTTAATTTTTTTTATTATGTTATGTTAGTCACCATACAGTACATCATTTTAAATGAATTAAATACCACAGTTAAAAAAGAAACTGAAGCAATGGGCAGTTTAGAACATGCTTTTCTAAACTCTGTAGGTTCCACCCAGGTGGGGTCCTCTCCTATAGCTGACAATCCTGATCCACATGTGCTTGGGAGACAGTGAAGTGAAAAATCTTAATTGGCTGCTATTCACTAATACTAGTTAGAAATGACTAGAAATGACTTAATGACTATGGATGTACTACTTTCCATTGGAGATTTTGTAGTTGCCCTACTAGATGTCACGGTAGAAGTTAAGTGTTCACACTTTTTAAAATTGGGTAAGTTCAAAATAGAACTTTAAGAAAGAAAAACTATATTAATGTTCAGGTTTCCCAAACAGAGCAAGACCATTTACAAAGCACTTGTTTTTAATCAGTTATATTGAAGTATAATTTACATACACTAAAATCAATTAATTTTTAAGTGTACAACTGGATGAGTCTGGGTAAGTGTTTAGAGTTGTGTAACTACCATCACAGTCATGATATAGAACAATTTCATGACTCCCAGGAGTTCCTCATACCCTTTTGTAGTCAATTCCCTATTCCCAACCTGGCAAACCAGGCACAATACTTCTTATGTGGCTTATGGAAGCAAAAATTCAATCCATCCACTTACTGTCTAAGAACTTCCACGCATCTACATCTGTAAATTTCATATGGTAAATGAGTTTGTACAAGTTGAAAGAGATTTAGAGACTATAAGACCCTTAAAGAAAATAATACAGTCTCTAAAGGAAGTAGTGCTTCTGACCTTGCTGGGTATTGCAAAACAGTCTCCCTCCTTCAGATAGATACTAAAAACTTACTGAGGGGAAAGACACTCTTTATTTCAGGTTCAACTCAAATCAAACAATAATACCTTCTGTGTACAAAAATCTAATTTAAAAATGCTTTTTAAAAACTTACCTGTTCTATTCGGTGTCTTGTCTGTAGATAAGGGTCATATCTAGCACGGATAGCTCGCATGGAGGTTGGCTAAGAAAAAAAGAGAAAAATCTCCTGCTGGGCCCACATTCAATAAAAAATAAAAAATAATTTCTAAAGGACTGTATTAAAAATAAAATCCTCTTGTGCTCCTTCCTTCTTCAGTCTTGTTAGGGATCAAAATAATGTTCTGAATAGCATCTGGCTAGTCTCTACCCCCACTGTCTTAAGTATCTGAACAGCAGGGCATCTCCTTGAATCATATTTATCTTTGTGTAAACACTTATGAAATCTCCAGGGTCACTTTCTGCTGGAGCAGAAAGGGGTGGCTAAGGGACAGAAATGAGAGGGAGCCTTTTCACTGAATAATTCCTTTTGTATTTTTAACAATTTGAACAATGGAAAACAAGTAAAAAGTGAAATGCCATATATAAGAAAAAGTCCAGTGGTTTGCTGCTGCTGACCTCTTCTGAAGAGGCTGACCGCTTCAAAAGCCTGTTTGCTGTTCTCCCGCTTGCACCCTGTCCCTACTCTAATCCTTTACCCACACAGCATCAAATGATCTTTTAAAACCCTACACTGCAACAGACCATCTCCCTGCCTTCAACCATAATGGCTTCTCATGACACCTATAATAAAATCCAAACTCTCTGCCCAGCTTACAAACTCCTAGGTCATCTGTCTCTCCAGTCTCATTCCTCCCCTTACCCGCTCAGTCCTGGTACACCCCACTATCGTTCCTGCTACAGCGCCTTGTTCTAGTGATTCTCTCCGCTGGGAATGCTCTCTCCTGATATTCCTGCATGGCTCCTTCATGTCATTCAGGACTCAGTTCAAATATGGCCTCAGACAGTCACTTCCCAACCACCAAGACAAAAGTATCTACTCATCTACAGATCTAACTCAATTTTACTTCTCAGCTTAACATTTACTAGTACCTGATATTTTCTTCTTTCTTGTCTATCTCCCATTATTAGAATGTAAATTCCATAAAATCAGGGACTTCGTCCACTTCCTACTGCTTAAGAAGCAGTATAATGTAGTGAGGAACAAAGAATTCAAAACCTGGGTCTGTCACTTATTAGCAGTGTGTCTCTGGGCCAGATGTTTAGGACTTCTAAGCTTGTTTCCTTATTCATAAAACCAGGATAATAACAGTGTCTTCACTTCAAGATGCTGCTGTAAGGTTTAAAGTTGTAAAGCACTTGGAATAGTTTGACATATATAACAAGTGCTTATATAAGTATTTTTCTAGTGACTAGAGCAATATATGTAGACACTCAGCAAATATTTGATGAACAACTTTTATAATCAGGAGAAAAATAAAAAATTATAAAATTTAAGAAAGCCCGTACTTGTATAAGTGCACTATAGGTAAAGTATGATGTTATACTTCCTCAGGACAACCTCACATTACTTTACCTCATATCCAGTATAAGACTGGGTTGAATATTCAAAATCTGAATCAGGTCCACCAGGGCAGTATCTGTCAATACAACCAAAGAATAAAGATGTCAGATACAAAATTCAGTTCAACAGTCTAGTTCAAGTATCTGCAGTCTCCATAAAATTCTGAGAGCAAACAAGCTTCATTTTCAAATCCTAACAGAAGAGTCTATCTTTGCAGTATTACAATTAATATATTTTCTATGAACAAGTAAACACAATAAACATATAAGGAACATTATTGTAGTCATTTGGAGAATGTTGCAGTCACTGTTATTTTAGAGGCTTAAGCTTTTAGGAAGAAGTTAACAGGATTTAAGTCTTCCTAGGTTTGGAATGATACAGTGCTCTCTTGGTAACTATACTTAGAAAACCTTTCTCTTGGGCGCCTGGGTGGCTCAGTTGGTTAAGCGGCTGCCTTCAGCTCAGGTCGTGATCCCAGGGTCCTACGATCAAGTCCTGCATCGGGCTCCCTGCTCGGTGGACAGCCTGTTTCTCCCTCTCCCTCTGCCTGCCTCTCTGCTTACTTGTGCTCTCTCTCTATCTCTCTGTCAAATAAATAAATAAAATCTTAAAAAAAAAAAGAAGAAAACCTTCTCTCATTTAATCTTCCTAACTAGAATCATGCATATTCTTCTGCCTATTTTTCCAATTATCTAAATTTAAGAAGTTTAAAGGTTATTTATAAGGGTAACTTTTTAATTTGATACTTTTCTGATCCAAACCTATTTTAGATTTCTGACATTTAGAATTTAGGCAGCTCCATATTTCCATGTTTCATTTATCAAGTTAATAGACTGTCACTGTTGAGTTCTCTAACCTATGCATTTTTTATTACAACATATTAAAATCTTTATATGTCTCATTTTTAAAGCAGTGAAACATCCTATCAATGGTTGCTTGTTTCAAAGAACTAACTTATGAATCTACTGAATCAAAGTTTTAAATATTACCAGCATGCACTGATTAAGACTTTAGGGGATTAACTAATTCATTTAAAGTACACACACACACAACTTATGGAAATCATCCACACTTACACGCATATATTTCCTGTAAAACTGATGTGTGGGCATCTGTGGGGTTTGCACATCACAGCCACAACAGCAATCTACAAAAGAAAGATTAATAAAAAAGCTATTATGGAATGATGAATACACAAACCTGGATAGTAGTTATCTCTCAGAAGGAGGGAAAGGAATAGAATCAGGAAATGGCACATAAGGAAAAAACAAAAAAAGAAAATGGCACATAAAGGGGCTTCAATGTATTGGTAATGCTGTATTTCTTAAGCTGAGCAGTGGGTGTAAGGGTGATCTCTTTTCAACATTTTTAATCTCTAAAATCTACAAATGCACTTATATACTAGCTTGGATTATATTTTACCTATAAATTAAGTGCAAAATAAGGAATTAATAATTTTCAAAGTCACAGTGATTCTATTCTCTCACTTTCTTTTACTAAAATAGCCTACAAGAAAAAATTACTTTATGCAATAAAGATATAAAATTATATCTAAGCCTAACCTTTGTAACTCACCCTCCTCACACATATACTGGACCTCAATATTTAGAGCAGACAGTATTAAACTAGGAGCTATACTTCAGAGCGTGTGCAAAATATTCTCAGAGGGGTCCGTCAGAGCCCTCCTGGTCTGAGCACAGTATGTGCTTCAGAAAGGGGGTGATGACAGAGATAAAAGTACGGTTACATATGGGGGTGCTGGCCAAATAAGGGTATAGACTAAGGTGAATATAAGCCAGGTTTCTTACTATCAGAGAAGGAAGTTATAAATATGAAAAGGGAGAGAACCTGGATGGAATGGAAGGTACTGCTGTGAACTCACAGTTTTCAACATATATTCTGATATACAAATAAATATAAATGCAAATGTGTCATATATATGTGTGTGCACATATGTATATATGTATACATATATTTCCTAGCTTGGTTCACTGACATGGAGCAGCAACACCCTAATAGCAATGAGTATAGTTATTTATATATTTATATATAATGAGTATAGCTGTTTATATTTATTTATATTTATAGCTATTTATAGCACTCAGATCTTGGTTTCTAATTACGCTTCTCCACTGAAAAACCCCAGGACTCCTTGGAGAAATGGCTGATTCCAGACATGGGGCAAAGAAAGGACAAGATGAGCCTGGAACATTTTATTATGACAGAAAGTTAGAACTGCTCAAAAAATGATAGGGACGTTTTAGAAAGACACAGAAACCAGCCTGAAAGACTCTCACTGGTCAAATCAGGGATCATGTGTACATCAAAATAAACACATGATAGTAGCAGTTTATAACCCACCAAACTGGAAACCATTAATCCATTCATACAAATAAATGAATGAGTAAATGAAATCTGAAATGAAAATCTGATAAGGAAAATACTTGCATACTTTCAAAGTACTTCACCACACAAAACTTCTTAATTACAAAAAGGAAAAGATTAACTTTACAGAGGAGAAGCCTGGTAGACACTACCTTCATCAAAATGAACCTTCAATGTCAGAAAGAAGAACAAAGATGAAGGTATCATGCTCTCTGATTTCAACTATTAAACACAATATGATATTGGCATAAAACCTGACACGTAGATCAATAGAACAGAAATAGTCCAGAAATAAACCCCTCATACATGATCATCAGTTAATTTACAATAAAGGAGCTGAGAATATACAATGGAGCAAGGACAATCTTCAATAAATGGTGTCGGGAAAAACTGGATATCGACATGCAAAAGAACAAAACTAGACCACTATCTTAGGTAATATGCAAATATTAACTCAAAATGGATTAAAGGCTTGAATGTAAGACCTGAAACCATAAAACTCCCAGAAAAAAAAAAAGTTCCCTGACATTGATCTGGGTGTTGAAGTTTTGGATCTGACTCCAAAAGTAAAGGCGACAAAAGCAAAAATAAATAAGTGGGACTACATCAAACTAAAAAGCTTCCGCACAGCAAAGAAAACCATCAACAAAAGGAAAAAGCAACCTACTGAATGGGAGAAAATATTTGTAAAACATATATCCAATAAGAGGTTAATATCCAAAATATATTACAAAACTCAGCTCAATAGCAAAAACCACATATGATTAAATAATGAGCAGAGGACTTGAACATTTTCCCAAAGACATACAGATGGCCAGCAGACACATGAAAAGATGTTGAATATCAATAATTACCAGGGAAATGCATATTAAAACCATGAGATATTACCTGTTAGAATAGCTACTATGAAAAATCTAATAAATAACAAGTGTTGGTGAGGATGTGGAGAGAAAAGAACCTTCATGCAGTGTTGGTGGGACTATAAATTGGTGCAGCCATTATTGAAAACAGTATGGAGGTTAAAATTAAAAAGAAGTCTACAATATGAACCAGCTATTCCACTTCTTGGTATTTATCCTAAGAAAATGGAAACACTAATTTGAAAAGATATATGCACCCCTATGTTTGCTGCAACATTGTTTACGATAGCCATGATATGGAAACAACCTAAGTAACCATCCATGGATGAATGGATAAAGAAGGTGTGGTGTGTGTGTGTGTGTGTGACACACACACATATACACACACACACACACATACATATACACAATGGAATACTGCTAAGCCATAAAAAAGAATGAAATCTTGCCATTTGTGACAACATGGATGGACCCTGAAGGTATTAAATGGTAGATGAAATTAGTCAGACAAAGAAAGACAAATACCATGACTTCACTTATATGTGGAATGTAAAAAAGAAAACAAAACAAAACCATATATACAGAGAACAGACTGGGGGTTATCAAGGAGGGAGGGGGCTAGGGGATGGACAAAACAGGTGAAGGGGGTCAACTATATGGTGACGGATGGTAACAAAACTTACTGTGGTAATTATTTTGCAGTGTATACAATTATCAAATTATTATCTTATACACTTGAAGATAATATAATGACATATATCAATTTTACCTCAATAAAAATGTTATATACCAATTTTACCTCAATGAAGAAAAAAAGAACATTATCAGTGACAGGACAAATTGAAACTATATACCACCTGCTAGTATACCAGAAAAACATATTATTGCTTCTATAATGTTCCTGCCAAAAATGCATAACCTGAATCTAATTATGAGGAAACATCTGATTAAGCCAAACTGAGGAACATGCTACAAAATAACCTGCCTGAAATCTTCAAAAGCGTTAAGGTAATGAAGTCAAGGAAAGACAGGAAGTGTCCAGACTTTAAAGGACATGACAACCAAATCTAACATGTAATCCTGAACTGGATTCTGTAGATCATTATTGAAACAGTGGGTGAGGGGCACCTGGCTGGCTCAGTTGGTTAAGTGTCTGCCTTCAGCTCAGGTCATGATCCTGGAGTCTTGGAATCAAGCCCCACATCGGGCTCCTTGCTCAGCAGGGAGTCTGCTCCTCCCCCTGCTCATGCTCTCTCTCACTCACTCTCTGAAATAAATAAATAAAATCTTTAAAAAAAATAGATAATTAAAAAAAGTCTCTTATGGCTAAAAAAAAAACGGTGAAACTTGAACAAAGTCTGAGGATTAGGTGACAGTACTTAATTAGTGTTAAATTCCTGACTTTGACACTCTATTGTGGTGATAAAAGAAAATGTCCTTATTTGTAGGAAATGCACACTGAAGTATTCAAAGGCAACTTATTCTGCAACATACTCTCAGGTGGTTCAGGGGGAAAATGTTTTTATACCAGACTTTCAATTCTGTAAGTTTGATTATTTTTCATAATAAAAATTATTAAAATTTAAATCATTAAACAGTGATCTAGACAAAAATCCAAAATTTATAAAAAATTGCAAATCTGAATGAAAAATTTAGATTTTCAAACAAATGTTTTTATTTAAAATGAGCCACAACTACGTATACCACCGATGTGGTCAGTCTAATTCAACAATCTTTTATTGAGGGCCCAGTATATAGGCCAGGTTCTAAGCTACACAGAACAAATGGGCCTTGAGACTAAAAAAATATTAATGCACTGCTTCTGTCCTCTGAAATCATATCTGCCTAGGGTAGCAAGATACATAGAAACAGGTTATTTCAAAACCACATGGTAAGAAGGATGTAGAAAATACTAGGAATGCCAAAGAAGGCAATTAATTAGCCCTCACCAGGGAAGTCAGGGAAGCCTTCCTGAGATGCTAACAATTGTGCTGATTAAGAATTAATTGATGGGGTGCTTGAGTGGCTCAGCTGGTTACGCATCCAATTCTTTGTTTAGGCTCAGGTGACGATCTTAGGGTCGTGAGATGGAGCCCCACGTTGGGCTCTGCGCTCAGTGTGGAGTTTGTTTGTCCCTCTCCCTCTGCTCCTCCCCCTGCTTGCACTCGCATGTGTGCTCTCACTCTCAAATAAAAAATAAAATAAAATAAAATGGATCACAGACCTAAATGTAAAGTCAAAACAATAAAACTTCTAGGAGCTAACATAGGAGAAAATCTAGGTGACCCTGGGTTTTGCAATGAGTTTTTAGATCAACACCAAAGAATGATCCAGAAAGAAAAAACTGGAAAAAACTGGACTACCTTAAAAATTTGAAAGTTCTGTTCTGAGAAAGATACTCTTAAGAGAATGAAAAGACACAGACTCAAAGAAAGTATTTGCAAAACCCATGTCTGGTAAGATACATATCTTAAATATACAAAGAACTCTTAAAATTTCACAATAAAAAACCAAACAATCCATTAGGAGTAGGGCAAAAGATCCGAAGAGACACCTCGTCAAATAAGATATAGTATTGACAATAATAATATGAAAGATACTCAACATATGTCATTTGGGAATTGCAAACTAAAATGAAATACTACCACACACCTACCAGAATGGCCAAAATCCAGAACACGGACAATACGAAACGCTGACAAGCATGTGGAGCAACAGGAATTCTCACTGTTGGTGGGACTGTAAAATGATACAGCCACTTTGGAAGACAGTTTGGCAATTTTACAAAGCTAAACCTAGTCTTACGATATGATCCAGCAATCATGCTCCTAGGTATTTACCCAAGTGAGTTGATATGCCAAGATTTCATTCTTTTTAATGGCTGAATAATATTCCACTGTAT